GGTATAGCGGTATAGTGGTATAGCGGTATAGTGGTATAGCGGTATAGCGGTATAGCGGTATAGCGGTATAGCGGTATAGTGGTATAGTGGTATAGTGGTATAGCGGTATAGTGGTATAGTGGTATAGCGGTATAGTGGTATAGCGGTATAGTGGTATAGCGGTATAGCGGTATAGCGGTATAGCGGTATAGCGGTATAGGGGTATAGCAGTATAGTGGTATAGAGGTATGGTGAGTCTATGGGTTTTTTTTGTTTCAAATTGAATTTCAAATAAAAAAATAACATCCCATTTTTACCAAGGCATGGGAACTAAGGGGACTAAGAAATTCTTTGAATTCAGAATTCAAGAATTCTTTGGTTCCTTATTAAAAAGGGTATCATGTATACATACTAAGATATATAGAATTCAGTCGACATATGTTATATCTGTGGTACCTTTTTTGAGGGTGGGCTAGGAGAACTAAGGGGACTAAGATGACTAATCGGACTAACTAAGCTGACTAAGGGGACTAAGGGAACTAGGGGTAGGAATAATGGTGTACACAGAGACGTGCATGGGTCGCGGCTCTTCGGGGGGCGCTTCGCGCCCCCACGCCGCGACGCTGAAATAAAAGGTGTGTTTTGTGGGGAAACGCGCTTCCCCACTGAATAGTCCCCTTAGTCAGCTTACTTAGTCCGATTAGTCATCTTAGTCCCCTTAGTTAGCATACAATGGGCTATTTAATTTCAGTCTGAATTTATCAAATAAAAATAATACTTGATTTCAAACTGAAACGTGAGTCTAGGAGTGAGGGGGGGTGACTGAGGGTGTGGGTGTGGGTCTGGGACCCACACACACACCCACACCCATGGTGTGGGTGTTGGCGCGTGAGTGAGGGTGAGGCTGTGCTTGTGGTTTTGTGTACTATAGGCTTTAGTCCCCTGAAAAGGGACTAAGGGGGGACGAAGCTTTTTGTGGGGGGACTAAGAGGGACTTTGCAGGACTAGGGGGGACTAAGGGTTTTTAGTGAGACTACGTAGTATCAAGCGAGAAAAGTTTGATTCGGAAGAAATCGGTGTGGTTTTTTTGATTTTAGAATTCAGTTTGAAATAAAAAAGCCCATAGACTCTTAGTTAGTCAGCTTAGTCAGCTTAGTCCCCTATTTCAATTTGAAATCAAGTGCTCTTTTTTCTGTTTAAATTCAGATTGAAATCAAATAACCCATTGTATGGGTATAGTGGTATAGCGGTATAGCGGTATAAGGAATAATAGGGGTATGACTCTTATACCACTATGCCGCTATACCGCTATGCCACTATACCGCTATACTACTATACCACTATACCGCTATACTACTATACGGCTATACCGCTATACTACTATACGGCTATACCGCTATACCACTATACCGCTATACCACTATACCACTATACCGCTATACCGCTATACCACTATACCGCTATACCACTATACCACTATACCGCTATACCGCTATACCACTACACCACTATACCGCTATACCGCTATACCACTATACCGCTATACCACTATACCGCTATACCGCTATACC